ATGATCTCCTGGCTTTCCTGCACCCCTGATCCCTTTAACCTTCTGCTTGTCTCCCTGTCCATCCCATCCTCTTGGGGCAGCTATTCCAATATAATTAAATCCAGAAGCAAAACAAGTAAGAAAGTAAAAAAATCACAGTGTTCTCCTCAAGGTCTAGAAGTAGAGAAATCAAACGTTCTTGTTTTCTTGGTGCTTTTACTTTGTCCTCTGGTTTCAGAGGAATTAACTCACATTTATGTTGCATTTTTTATTATTTTTTTTCCATTACCATAAAGATTAGATTTGTCCTCAGGGCTCATTAGGAGTCTGGGTGGATGGTGCTGATTTGGAATTTCCTTCTTCCCTGTGCTGGGGAAGCTGCTGCCCTGCTGATTTTTCCTTCTGTTTGTTCCACTTCTGGATCACTGTGCACGCAGCAGCATTAAGGCCAGGGGCTCTGATTTCCAGTTCCCAGCAATTCTGCTGCCCTAAGAGATAAAAACGCCAGATAGCTCAAGCATGGGTAGTATTTTAATCTAAAAGGACAACTTGTTTCACATCTCTGTAGGAACTTTTATTTATTTCTGCCATGAAATGCTGCAGTTACCTGTCTTTTCTCAAGATTAAGGATTTAAAGAAAGAACTATCCCTTAGTACAGCTTTGTGCTGACTCTGCCTAAAATTCCATTGCATGTTTCATGTACTCTTTTGTATGTTTATTCTTTTTCTTTCACTTTTTAGAAGATACCTTGAATTTATGTATAGCTCACTCCAGAAGAATCTGAATGCCTTAATTCTGACTTCATTTGTTTTTGCAGTGCACAGGAAGACCAGTTGCTTACATTTTTCTTAACAAAAAAAAATAAATAATAAATTCCTGCCCTGCTTGGACAAATTACCACTCCTTCCAACCAGGCTTCAGGTTTTGAGACTAATCTGTCTTGGAACTGTTTGTGGGGTTTTATTTATGTTATTAGAAATAAGCAATTCACTGCAATGTGTTTGTGCTCTGCAGGCTGCATCTGTGATGGAAATCCTTGGACTGGTGGCAAACATGTAGTAAATCTCTCTTGGTTTTGACTCTGAGCTCAGTACCTGAGATGCTGACTCTGGAGTTGCCTTGAAATGAAACACAATGGATTCCAAGTGGGAAAAAGTTTCCCTTGTAAATTCCTTGCTGCAAAGAGAGAGGATTTGTGCTGTGATGCAGAAGAGGTGTTTCTCCCCTGGGGATCAGGAAATATAGTAGCTTGTGCAAAGACAACACAACCAGGGGTAATTCAACCTCGGGTGAGGTGACTCTGTGCTGTGCTGGGGTGACCACCCCAAGGTGTCCCTGATGTACCTGCCCTGACCAGGTCACTGCAGTGGGGCTTGGCATTAAACTCCTCTTGTTTAAAACCAGACACCAACAACTGAACCAGATAACTAAAGTTGACAGCTGGCATGGAAGAGCTTGGTGGTGTCTGGTGGCTGCAGGGGAGCTCCTGGGAGAGTGGACAGGTGGGTAGGGTGACCCTGCCCAGCCCAGCAGCATGACCACCCATAAGAACCCTGTCCCTCCTGTTGCTTATGTGTCTGGGTATAAAAATACGTGATTTCTGCTCAGCATAAAGGGACATCAAGTTACTCAGTCTCTAGAAAAGTGGAGTTCGACCTGGGGAAGAAAAACCTTAGAGCACCTTCCAGTGCCTGAAGGGGCTCCAGGAAAGCTGGGGAGGGACTTGGGACAAGGGCAGGGAATAAGAGGACGAGGGAGATGGATGAAAACTGGAAGATGGAGATTTAGGTGAGACATGAGGAGGAAATTCTTTGCTGTGAGGGTGGTGAGAGCCTGGCCCAGGTTGCCCAGGGAAGCTGTGGCTGCCCCATCCCTGGCAGTGTTGAAGGGCAGGTTGGATGGGGCTTGGAGCAACCTGGGCTGGTGGGAGGTGTCCCTGCCCATGCAGGGGGGGTTGTATCTACATGATCTTTTAGGTACCTTCCAACACAAACATTTCTGTGTTTCTGTGAGAGGCTTATGCACATGCGATGAGTTGAGATGTTTAGTTTATTTGTTCTTGTTTAAAATTCCTATCACTGAGCATTTTTATACAGTTTTTATATCACTTGATATTGATGCAGAAGAGTCCATGCTGATGTAGGACAGTCCAGCAGCTTCAGACCATCAACTGTGCTGGGATCTCAAAGCAACTGATTGATGTTGGGTTTGCGTGTGTGTGGCTGGGTAGTTTGTCACTGTTTATTGATATACTAGAGGTTGCTTATTTGAGTTGACTCTAGGATGTGTGTTTGAGCTGCTCTAGTTTGTTACAGCAGGAGTGTCAGAAAAGCTAAAAATATCACTGACTGGTTCTGTTATCAACTGTGAGCTCAGATTTCCCTGGTCAGGCTGGAGGAACCGAGTGCACTCAAGTGTGTGTAAGAGTTGGCTGCAGCATCAGCTGGATAACACACATTGGGAGGGTGAAAAAATCCCAGTTCTGGCCTTTCATTGAACTTAGAGAGTATTAGGTCTGCCTGTCAACCTTGAAAGGCAAGTTACAGCCTCTTTCCATAATACCCAGTCACAGACATCTTGGAGCTGTTATGTCTCCTCTTTGACACTCAATTAAATGACTGCACTTATTTTTAAAGACCTAAAACCAAAAGAGGGGATAATCCAGTACAATAGTGCTTTGCTGAAGCTGAAATTTATCTGTACTTTGAAAGCCATGGCATAATAAAATAATTGATAGTTCTACACTAAAGGTGCTGCTCTCAGAGCTCAGCTGCTGCTGTGGCAGCTCCTGGTACCTGGTGGACTGGGCAGCATCTCACAGATGAATTAGGGCTGTTTTCAAAGCAGATAGTTATTGTTGTCTTTTTATTTTAGAGGTGAAATACAGGATACAGGGTTGTGCCCCTTGGAGATATTTTAGGGGTAGTATAAAAGAAGAGGGGGTTAATGGCAAGGTTAAGCCCAGCCTCCAAGGTGTTGTGTTTGGTTTGGGAGGACTTCCCACTACTGGGCTGAAGGGAACCTGCCCAGTGTCCTGCAGCCTCCCCCAGCCCAGGCTGGGTGTCCTCCCTGGGGTGGGCAATGCAGAGGTAGATCCAGCTTTTCCTTTCTGCTGAGATCTGTAAGTCAGCATGGTTTGAGTGTTTCTTATAGAATCCCAGGCTGATTTGGGTTGGAAGGGATCTTAAAGATCATCTAGTTCCAACCCCCCTGCATGGGCAGGGACACCTCCCACCAGCCCAGGTTGCCCCAAGCCCCATCCAACCTGCCCTTCAACACTGCCAGGGATGGGGCAGCCACAGCTTCCCTGGGCAACCTGTTCATGTGTGCTGAAGGCAGAAAAGGGAAATGCATAATAAAGGTCTGATAATTACGAACGGAGCCAATCCTAGATGTAGATATCTAGGATAAATCCAAAAAGTCTCCTTTTTTAAAAGAAAAAAATAACCTTGGAAATACAAGTCTGTGTAATTTCCATTTTATGTAAATGTATCTGTTCTGGATTTGACTCCCTGAGATAGTAAGTGCCCACAGATTGGATGTGGGTGGTCAGCAGTTGAGAAAATTGGGCCATCCATCTAAATTTGTCTCTACTTCAAATCCATCCTATTCATGTCAGCCTTGTCTGAAGCAGCACAGTGGATACAGGGGATTCAATACTTAGAAGACAGTTTCTATTACCACACTATATAGTCCATTTTCATAGGAGAGAAGTCACCATGTGAGGACACCCTGGGTGCTCATCTCCCCAAGCTGCTGATGCTCATGAGTGCAGACGTGGTTGTGTGAGATGCTCTGGGTTTCTCACTTGGAGCAGTGCAAGGGAGACATGAAAAAATGCTCTAAGCTTCTGTGAGATGTACCTTGTGAGTTCAAACAGGAATTTCTGGAAGGTGCTGGCTTCAGTGTTCAGAGGTCTGCTACACATCCCAGATTCACTGATTTGTATCAAAAAGCAATATTTAAAGTAACATATTTTTTACTGCAGCCTCAGGCTGAGTGCTGGAGCCCCCCCGAGCCAGGACAGAGCTGGGCTGTTTTCCAGATTGTGCATTATCAGATGAATAATTAACTGTAGACTAATTGCAAATCCTAATTAGTCTTCTACAACTGCACTAAACACAGTATTGCTTCAGTGTAACATGGAGAGAATTGACCTTGAGGCTTTAACACTGCTGGTGGTGTGAGCAGGGAAGAACTTGACTTTCAGAACCCAACTTACTTTTGTTACACTATGAGTCAAAAACCTCCACAAATTTTTGTTATTAAATTACAAAGATAGGGAAATAGCAGTATGCCTGCCTGGCCTTTCCACAGGTGTGCTTTGCTAGCTGGAAGCTTGTCTGTGCTGCTCTTCCTATAGGTGCTGGAAAAAAATTAGGAAAAAACCAAACTTGTTTTGAATGGTTTTATAGACTTGATGGGGAATCGACAGGTGGACTTTGCTTTGTCTCCTTGGCCCATTCTGGGACTGCACAGGCAGGTTTGGTGTCTGGTTTCTACCAAACTGTGTTAGAAATAGGTGATCACAGAAGGTGCACATGGATTTTGCATCCTATTCTTTTCCATTAACCACTTGGTAGGGCAGGTTGGCCTCTCTGCACCTTGTGAAGGGCATTCAGGCTGGTCTGTGCAGCCTTGGTTTCTCTGTGGGTAACTTGGAGGTTGTTTCTATGTGAGAGAAGAGCAGGAAGACTCTGCCTTCTCCATTGGTGGTCCAGGAGATCTCCTTCCCTGGGTGACTCTGCTACTTCTGCTAGGGGGAAGGCAAGATGCTTGCTTCTGTGGGAGGTGCTGAGAATAAAATGAGAGGAGAAATAACACTTCATGTTAAAACCCCCCATGACAGCTGGAGCAAAACGTTACCTAAAATGAATGACTGGCATAGAACATTGGAACCTTGAATAACGTGAGTGACCTGAAAACCCGAACGCTGACGTTGCAGTGATTAGTTGGTAAAACACTGAGCAGGAGCCAAGGTAAAGGATTCTTGTCTGAGTCTGTATTTCTTCCTGTTTAGGTGACACTGAGCAGGAGCTGGGACCCCCTCCATCCGTCGATGAGGCAGCAAACACACTCATGACTCGCCTGGGCTTCCTCCTTGGAGAGAAAGTCACCGAGGTCCAGCCAGGGCCCCAGTACAGCATGGAGGTGCAGGATGAGAACCAGGTACAGCCCCTCCAGCCCTTCCTCCTCCTCCCCTACTGCACGGGCTGTGATCCAACTGCATGTGGGAGAGGACTTGTTTTCTAATTCCGTGGCAGCTGAGTGTCTCATAATGGTGAAATAATTGTGCTGAGGTAAAAGGTTGTGGTGAATCATCGATCCAGCGCAGCGGGACGTGGCCCAGGGATCAGCTGCTGCCATCTGAAACAGCTTCTGGTGCTCTGCAGTTTCTGCAAGTGTTGTAGGAGTGGGTAGTGTTTCTAATCAGATTATAGTGACCAAAATAATCTGTACTTCCATGGCACCTTAGGGGCAAGATTTCAGAAGTGTTTTAGCAGCGTTACATAAAGGCTCACAGGAGGGAGGAAGGAGCAGAAATAGCTTGATTTTACAGATAGTTGTGGTTTTTACTCCTGTTTGCCAAACAAGGTGATTTCATGCTTGTAAACAGATGCAGAAAACAAACTGTAACATCTTCATTGTGATGGAGTTTGGTACATCCCCTCTGGCCAGCTGGAAAGCAAAAGAGCAAAAAGCTCAGGGCTGCAGTGTAGGTTTTGTGGAACCTACCCGAGTTTATTCATCCTCCCCCCCAAGCCTGGACAATATCCCCTCCTCCCAGCAGTGTTGGAGACATCAGAGATGGTTTTTTGAGGGAGTTTTTGGTTGTTGGTTGGTTTGTGCTGTTTTTTTTAAAATTGACAGATGGATAATCTAGTATGTAATAGAACAACGTGAAGCTCAGAAGCCAAATTATCATTCTCTTTCTTTTTGGCAGAGTCATTAGATGACTGTGCACAAGTCACTGAGATGTATGTAACACGAGCACAATTTAGAGAACCTGTTCTAAGGACCCAAATAACCTAAAACCATAAAGGGTCTATGAAAAGTGACAGCCAAAAAGATGTTTCTGTGCATGTTTCTGATTGTCTGTTGTGGCACATGTGACATTCTCTCAACCTGTGCCCCTTGGAATGAAACTCAGACAAGTTGTTCCACTGTGCCCAGGAGTGTTCTAGTACAAAGCTGGAGGAGCAGGGCAGGGGCAGCACCCCTAGGTCTGTCCATCCTGCACTGCAGACTTCAACCAGAAGGGTTTTGATCTTTTGCATGGGCTAAAGGATGCTTGAGAGTCAAAAGAAACCAAGTGGTTTTGAAAAGTTTTGCTCTTAACACAGTCATTAAGCTTTTAATGCTTTCATTCAATTTTTTTAATGTAAGTTGTGGTGGATTTGTAATGTACTTTACTATACATTATGCTGGAAAATGTACTTTTAACAGGCACCTATTTGAACTGAATACTTCAAAGCCAAGCAGAGCTTTCTGCTATAAATGGTTCCTTTTGTTGTTGCCTTTTGACAAAAATTAAAATTCCATCTTTTCTCTAAAGCAGAAGATGTCTTTGGAGCATAAATAAAAGAAGCATCTGAAGAGAAACAGCAGAGAGTTGTCCTCTAAAATAGATGGATATCTTGGGCTGTGTGCTAATTTTTGCATGAAAAAGTTGTACAGGGCCTTTGAATCCTCTTCATGGGGTGGTGAAGATAAAGAGAAGCTGGCTCCTCAATTACCAAGTTGATATTTTTTCTTTCTTTGTGAGCATCTCCTGCTGTCAGCCCTTGCCTGGAATTGCAGAATACTGGCAGTTGGAATGACCTCTGGAGGTCCTCTCATCCAGCCCCTGCTGGAAGCTGGGTTAGCCTCAAAATTGGACTCCGTTGCTCTGGGCTTGTCCAGGCGAGTTTGGAAGATCTCCATGGATGGAGAATCAACAGGCTCTCTGGGCAGGGCTTGCTGACTGATTGTGAGGGCCTTTTTTCTTCTTCCTAATGGAAGATCTCCTCGCTGCAGCCTGTGACTGAAATGTCTTGTCTGCCCTTCTGAGAAGAGCAGAGCTGCCTCTTCCCTACACCCCCTGCAGGTACTGGAAGACTGCAGCTACCCCCAGATGTAGTTTAACCATCTCTTCTCCAGGCTGAAAGAACCCTCTTCATCAGCCTTTCCTCCAGCATCACAAGCTCCAGCCAGATGACAGCCTTGGTGGCCCTCCTCTGCCTGGGTCATCTGCCCCTGGCTGTGGCAGCCCAGGAGTCACCCCCAGATCCTGTCCCAGCTAAAGCTGCTTCTGAATTGCAGCAAATCTGCTGAAATTTCTCCAGCTCTCCTTCCCAAATGGAATTTCCTCAGCTACCTGCCTTAAAGAAGGGCTGAAAATCAGGCAGTAAGACATTGATGACATTTGCAAAGATTAATTCTGCCATTAATAATTGTTTGATTAAAATCTGATTGAAACTTTGACTACCAGTTTGCACTTGAATTTAAAAGTGACAACAGTTGTCTAGGTTTTAATGCATTAATTTACATGGCCTGGCCAAAGAGAATGTTCTTTGGATCAAAAGCTGGGATTTGGCTGCTGTTTGTTATTCCAACTGTGCTTTGCCTTCTCAAGCAAGAAAATAATTATTTGCAGTCTCACCAATGCTTGAGCTGAAGTGAAGATAAGGAGTGGAGGTGTTTTCACTAAAACTGCCCCAATCTGTAAATTGGCACTTTGCATTTCCATTCAATTGCCTTATTTTGACTTAGTCAAAGGATCTCTTCTCTAATCCATATTGCTCTGAAATTGGGTGGTTTATATGTGGGCTCTTTCTTCATCATTCTTTCCTTAATGAGAGATCACAAATGCTGAAGAAGAAACCCTTTTTCTCCTACTTTTTTTTGGGAAGCTATTTTTCAACTGTGCTGGCTGCCAGAGAAGCACAAAGGACAATGAGTCTGTGACAGAACAGTTGAATTTTTCAAAGCTAAGTGAAAATGTGACAGATGAAACAGCAGCAATAATAACACAGAACGTTCTGTCAATGGAAATATATATTTAAAACTTGCACAGAGGAACGTTTTTCTATATCAATACAAAAATAAAACGTGTCAATCAATGCTAAGGGATACACCATGTTATTTAGTAATTTCCAACTGCAAAGTAGCTTGTTCTTAAGGAGCTGCACTGATACCAATAGAAGAACTGATAAGAATATAACTTTAGGCATTTCATGAAACAATGGTGTTACCAGCTGAAGGGAAGATGAGTGTACCACTTTCACACTGAATTTTAATTTGCTTGAAAGTGTAATTTTTCTGTGGTTTAGGGTTAGCAGGTGTTACTTTGGTAGCACTGAGATAAGTTTCAACAGTTGAGACAAGGCCACAGAAAAACCTCACCATGAATAATTGGTAAAGGTGACAATGCTTCACATTCTGAAAGGTCTCAAATGTGAGCTGATTACCTTTTTAGATGCTGGAGTATGAGACTGGAAAGCACCTCTGGAGATTGTCTAATCCAACCTGCCCACTTGAAGCAGGGTCAGCTAAGAGAGTTTGCTCAGGACCATCTGTGGTTGGGTTCTGAACAGCTCCTTATCTCCTGTGTCAGACACTCCAGTCCTTCAGTCATCATTGTGGAGTGATCATCAGTGATCATCCCGTGGTGGTGGCACTCAGATGTCCCCCTCTGCCTCTTGTGCTGGGTCACCCAGGCCTGGGTGCAGCACTCCAGGTGTGATCCCAGCAGAGGTGAGCCAGAGTTAACCACCACCTGCCTTCAACAACCAGCATTGCTCTTACCAGTGCAGCCCAGGATGCAGCCTCTGAACATCAAAACCAATATTCCCTTAAACTTGATGCAGTTCCTTGAACTGTCAGTGAGTTTAAGAAAATATTTGAAAATGCTGATTTTATAGCTCAGATGTAGTGATGGACTCAGTCAGCTGTGATAAATCAGAAGAGACAGTCCCATGGCAGTGGGTGTCGTGGTGAAAACATCTGCTTGATAGCAACCACCCAAGAGCAGCCCTGTGACAGGTTCTGTGGAGAAAACCATAAACCCCAGTAATTTTCAGGGGCAAAAATAATGGAATATTTTCACTGAATACTGACACAAAAGTAGTTTTTAATTTGATCATACGTATTCATGTGTTAGAACTAATTTTGCAGAATTAAAAACAGATTTATGAAATGGTCATTATGGTGCTTGGGTATCTGAAAAAATTACAGTCTGAGGAGATCAAAAAAGGGTCTTGACAGGTGATGTGACAAATGTGTGAAACCAGACTGTACTGGGAGCCAGAATGTATAGACCTGTCAGCTGCCTGCAATTCCTGGAAGGTTTCCTGGGGAAAAAAAAAGATGTATTTGTGAGTACCTAGAACATAAAAGAATGGAAAATAACTAACCCTGATTGACTGCTGGCACTGCAAATTGGCTGGGGAGAGGGAAGTGTTGGTTTGCTTCTGAGTGCTTCAGAAGATGATGTGGTGGCAGCAGTCTGATCCACTGGGGGGGTATTTTATGTGGATCCCAGAGGGAGGTTATAAATTATCATGGAAATACATGGTTCATTTTCTGCTCTGCTGCAATCTCTCTGTTTAATATAACACCAAACCTGTGGAGCTGTTATGTTAGTGCTCTGTCCTTGATCTTCCACTAGACCAGGTTGCTCCAAGCCCCATCCAACCTGCCCTTCAACACTGCCAGGGATGGGGCAGCCACAGCTTCTCTGGGTAACGTGTTCCAGGGTCTCACCACCCTGACAGGGAAGATTTCTCCCTTATGTCTCACCTAAATCTCCATTCCTCTCATCCCATCCCTCCCTGCCCTTGTCCCAAGTCCCTCCCCAGCTTTCCTGAAGCCCCTTCAGGCACTGGAAGGTGCTCTGAGGTCTCCCTGGAGCCTTTTCCAGGCTGATGGTGTGGCACTAAATCTCCCTCATCCTGATTAAACCCATTCCCCCTCATCCCATCCCTACATGCCACCAGGCTGTGTCTCTGCCTCCCACAGACATGGGGTGGCACAGCAGACAGTTTCATTCTGATCAGAAGCAGCACTTTCTGACCTCACACCCAGCACTGTCCCTGTGCCTGACGTGTCCCCGTTGCCCCCGCAGAGCTCGGCCGTGACGCAGCGCATCAGCCCCTGCTCCACGCTGACCAGCAGCACGGCCTCCCCGCCCGCCAGCAGCCCCTGCTCCACCCTCCCACCCGTCACCACCAGTGTCACCACCAAGGACTGCACCTATGGAGCTGTCACCAGCCCCACCTCCACCCTGGAGAGCAGGGACAGCGGCATCATCGGTGAGTGCTGCCTCCATCCTCCTCCTCGCTCCGCGCCTGGGGCTGCCAGGCCTTGTGTTAGATCATCTGCCTGTGGTTAATGGGATGGTTTCACTTAGATATTAGGGGAGATTATTAGGTTAGATTATTAGATTGTAATTGGATGTTAGGGGAGGTTTAAATGAGGTATTAGAAGGAACTTCTTGACTGGAAGGGTTATTAAACATTGGCACAGGCTGGCCAGGGAGGTGGTTGAACCACCATCCTTAGAGGTGTTTAAAAAACGTGTAGGTGTGGTGCTGAGAGACATGGTTTAGGCATTGGACTTGGTAGAGTTGGTTTAGTGGTTGGTAGAGTTAGGTTATGGTTGGACTCAATGATCTTAAAGGTCTTTTCCAACTAGAATGACTCTGCATTTCTGCTTTATTCATGTTATATTGTAGTGACCAAGGTGAATTACACTCCTCCGTAGAATCCCAAGACTGGTTTGGGTTGGAAGAGACCTTAAACATGGTCCAATCCCAGACTCTATGCCATGAACAGGGACCCCTCTCACTAGAGCAGGTTCCTCCGAGCCCCATTCAGCCTGTCCTTGAACACTTCAGGCTGTCACTGGGGGCTGCCATCCCCTCCTATTACTTAAAGTAATTTTGGAGGCATCTGTTTTTTCAGCGTTTTCCTTCCCTCGATGCTGTTTAGTCCACAGCAGCTGTTCTTTGATGTCAGAGGAAAGACAATAGATGACACCATCATGTTCATGGCTCAAATACTGTTTGGTTATATCATTATAAATATAAAAGAATGATTACCTCCTGTGCCCCAGAACCATCCCTGCCTCCTTATTGGTGCCTGTGCCTCAAAAATTACAGCTTCTCTTAAGCTCAGCCTTGGGCAGGATTAAATAAAGACACATTTCTGAGAATTTCAGTAGCTGCTGTAGCAGGTTTTTCATTCCAGTGATGTCTGGGTTGCAAGCATGAAGCATCTTGAGAAATGAACATACATGGATTAATTTTTCTGCTCAATAACTGTAAAGGCACAATGGGAGAAAAGTAAGGTCTGTGTAACATCAGGCAGGTCCTGGCTTGGTTGTCCTTGCCATGTGTTTTGTGTTGAGGGTTTTTCCAGCTAATAAGATTTTACTTTGCCAGCACTTTATGCAGTGCTTGAAAAAAAGGAGGAGGGAAGGTTGATAATTGAGGGAGCTGAGTTGTACTAGTGATTAATATTTTGCTTGGCTGCCCAGGAAATCTGGGCTTAGCTCAGGTCCTGGATGCCACAGCAACCTTTGTAGCTCTTGTGCCTGCATGATGGTAAAGTGCAAATCTGGGAGCTATTCTGAGCCGCAGACAAAGTAGGTTAATGAATTCTGGGAAAATTCATGGCATTATCTCACACCCTTTGTTCTCTGCTTACCATGTCCCATGGGCAGAGCTTCACCCTGGCCCACAGCACCCCTTGAGGCCTGGCTGGGCTGGAGGGTCAGAGTGAGTAAAAGCAGTCGCTTGATTCTGGCTGGTTCTTACCTCTGGCAGAGCTGGGTCTTGGATGAAGCTTGAAGTGGAGCAGCAGAATCAGGAGAAATGTGTGTGCATTGCTGTCATGAGCTGCTCTTACTGATGAGTTCTGTCAGTGTGTGCTGAGCCATCACGTTGGGCTCCTCTAGCCCTCAGGATGGTTGGCAGGTGCCGACCTGAAGGCAACAAAACCACTGTCAGTTGGTGCAGTTTGGTTTCTTCTGAAATTTCTCGTCCACATAAAAGCCAGAGGAGACCCAGGTGGCCTTTGTGGCCAGCCTGTGTGTCAGAGAGGTGTCTGCATGATCCCCATTGCTGACCTGAAAAGGTGCTGAATCTTTTTTCTCAGAATTTCTACCCTATCCTTTTTTCAGTAGGTCTTTTTAATTAATTTTTAACTCTGAAACTTTTGTCGCTCCTGGGAACAAGTCTCTCTTAGAGATTTTTCTGTTTGGAAACTTAGGTTTTTCCCATGGAAACTTTAAAAAACAGAAGAAGGTGACTTATCCCAGGGCTATGTTAATGGATCCCAGATGGAAAAGTCAGGTAAAATGTTTGTGTGGAGCAGGGGAAGCCCTCTGCAAGGCTGTCAAAAATCAAGACTCCCTTACTAGTGTCCACGCTCAAAGGAGAACAAGAGCCTCTTTATTCTTCTTCCCTCCCTTCTTTATTTTGACAGTAACAATTTCAACACCTTTGCCAGAAGCTGGACAGCCATAACAAATTGTGGGGAGACCAGTCCTCTCAAGTCACACTTTCCAGCAGTGGAAAAAAAAAAAAGGGGGGAAGTTTTCTGCAAAGTCTGGTCTTTTTCTGCAGCTCCAAAGTGTCTCCTGTGAGTGCGGGGTCAGTTGGAGCTCGGGGCGGCTATTTCCCTGTGGGAGATGGATGCACAGTTTGGTCATTCATATCCTGCTGGGATGCGAATTGGGTATGCAGCAGTTTTGAAAGGTGTTCTCTGCATGTCAGCAATTCCCTGGAATTATTTTCACTCCAGAAGGGAGCAGACAAATTGTCCACGTGTCGGAAGTAAAGCCCAAGTCCTACTTCGTTCGCCCCTCTAGGAGCAGGGCAGCTCCTTTGTTCTGGAGGGTCAGGATCAGGTTTCCCTTCTGGTTGCATTCCTCCTTGATTGGATGCAGACCTTCTTCATGCATTTCCCTTGCTCATGGTTGCTCTCTGCAAGGATAACTGCAGTGACATGGCTTTTGGTCTGAGCAACTTCACGTTGTACCTCAGAAGTGTAAATCTGTGGGAGATTTCCTGTCAAAACTACTTGTTTTCTTGCCATTTTTATGTGCTGTAAAAGAGAGAACATTTCCCTGGGTGTTTTATGTTCCCTGAGTCATGGTTCCTCCTGCTCCTTGCAAATAAGTGATTTAAACTCTTAGCTCATTAGCTCCAGGAAGAGATATTTTATAACGGGCAGCTTCAATGTATTTCTTACTCATCCTGATAAGTTACTGGTTTGGGAAGATCTGTTGATCTTTGCCCCCTCAGAAAACAGTGAATTAAGGTGGGAAGTTGATCCTTGTGCTCTTCTACATAATTGCTTCTCTCCATGTGATTTTGCTTGGCATAAAATATTTTTATACGTGCTAAGCTTATTTTATGTATCTAGATGACCAGACACAGCATTAATTTGTCAAAGTTAAATCAGAGTGTGCCTCATTAGGCTCTGAACTGACTGCAGTTGGAGCCTGGCTATCCACTGAGATGTACAGAGTGGGCATTGTGGGGTGTTAATCTGGATGGAAAGACCAAATTTCAAGCAGGCAGGTTTTCTCTTGATTGCTTGTCATCTTGGAGTTATTCCTGTCCATTTGTGTGTCACCTCTTATATAATTTCAATTATCAGAGAGCAAGTGTGTCTTATCTCTCATCTGCACAGCACAGGGACTATTTCATGCTTAGTGAACTCTTTGATAAATGCATCACTTGGCTTAGAACAGACTTATTTTGAAACTGTAGATCCTTTACAGGTTTTAGATCCTTTACTGTAAAGGGAGGTTCCTTCTGTGTATGTTGAAAGGGTAATGAAATTATTACAAGGTCCAGATCTTCAAATTCAGGCAGTCTGATTTGTCAAATTAAAAAATGGGGAAAGGGGAGGAGGGAGAGAGATGAGCCAAGAGGAGAGATAGAAGCAAGTCAGCCCTTTCTCCTGGAAGCCACTAAATCCTTTTCGTGTACAACAGGATGGCTGGTGAAAATGCTGACCTGACTTTAACCTCTGAAGAGCTTCCAGGATTTTTTTGGCTCTCACTATGTAAAAGCAGCCAACTGTTACTGTTCAAAATCTGCTACTGAAAAGAAAACTGGTCAAAGAATCCCGTGCTGCTACGGGGGAACTTTGCATTTCCCATCCCCACAGAAATGGACTGTAAAGTTTTTTGCTGCTTGAATGCAGCAGGATATAAGAAAACCTCCAGCAATCTTAGGAAAGCCTGAAATTAAACAGAAAACATTTCTTGCCCTAATGTGCAGCTTACCCAAGTGCTGGAGGTGTTGGAGCAGCACTTCATGCCATTCAGCAGCATTTCCCAAGGGTGTTACAGGAGCAGCAGTTTCCATGCTGGAGCTTCCTGAAGAAGTGCTGTGATTTCCTCTGACATGAAACGGGTCCCCACTGCTGCTTCATGCTCTGATCTTCTACACCAGGTTCCCTGCTTGATGGTTCAGGGATCATCCTGAGCAGGGACAGGTATGATGGTAAAGCAGCTTACAGGGAGAGCAGTGAGCTGCAAAACCCTCTTGTGCTGCTGCCTTGGGGAGGTAGATCCGTCTCACACCACGTGGAGCAGTTGCCTTCACTTAGATTTGGTGGATTTTTACAATGAAGAATGAGATGTAAAGGTCCCTTATCTCCTCCTGGAGGCCCTGGCATGTGGCTTTTTTCACTTTCCTTTTTTGCTGTTTTGTTGGGTTTTTTTCTGTGACTCTTGAGCCTTTATCCAATTGCTGCAAGATGGGGATGACTTTTGACAAGGCCTTGTAGAGGGAGAACAAGGAGGAATGGATTAAAATGGGAAGAGGGGAGATTGAGATGAGACATGAGGAGGGAATTCTTTGCTGTAAGGGTGGTGAGAGCCTGGCCCAGGTTGCCCAGGGAAGCTGTGGCTGCCCCATCCCTGGCAGTGTTGAAGGGCAGGTTGGATGGGGCTTGGAGCAGCCTGGGCTGGTGGGAGGTGTCCCTGCCTGTGCAGGGGGTGGAACTAGATCATCTTTAAGGTCCCTCCAACCCAAACCATTCCATGATTCTGCATATTTATGTGTTTGTGGATTAAAAATAGGTTTGTTAATGAATTCCTCCAGAGTGCATGCTAAGCAGGGTAGATGCTGCTGCAATAAAACAAGATAAATTTGTTTGCAAGTTTAACTGCTTTGAGAGGGGAACAAAGCACAACACAAAAGGCACATCAAGATAAATTTAACTCAGGTTAAATATTTTTGTAATCTTACAGCTAAAGGATTTGAATTCTGACATTCTCATAAGTATTATTA